GGATAAAAAGGCAATGATGACAGTGTTTGTACAATCAAAAAAAAAACCAAGAAAGGAGAATAAAAAAGGCTGTCAATCGGAGTAAGACTGCCACATGTCTGGGTGCCACCACCCTTCAGACAGAGAGGGCTGCTTCAAACATATACAAGCCACAGCTGTCACTCTGCAGAACTGCACATCTTCCACTCTAAGACAGTATCATTTGACAGCTGCTACAAATATTATGAATATCATGGATGTCCTGTTATTCTCATCTGACAGTCTCTGAAGCATAAGGAGCTAGCTATTATGAAAAAAAAAAGAGAAAAGGGTATGTGTGTGTGTAATAACAAAACAGCAGCAGAAAGCACATTAGGATGTCTTCCTAATGCTGAGATGGTCAGCAAGCATACAGGTGAGACTAGGATGCTGTTTAATTTCATTTGGAAAGGCAGCAGCATTTGTAACTTTGAGAATCAATCTTCACTCTTCCCTAAGCCCTCTCGCATTTTAGGAATGCACTGAGTTTTAAAACCCTGGAAAAAGATAGTATAAACATGTTTTACTATGCAGTTGCCTTAGAGTGGGAGAGGAACAAATGGCAGTATTCTAATTTTGCAGCAGCTCTGACTAGGTCCAGCAAGATCAGGGTCCCACTGAAAAAGGCTCAACATAAAGGAAGAATAGAAATGTTACTTTCCCAAAAGCTTACAGTAAAGACAGACAGAAGCCAGGGAATCACTCAAGTAATCTGCAAATGAAATACTAACTTCACATCTCTTCCACTAAAAGTCTACAGAGCCAGAGCCAACACACTCCTTGCAGTTTTAGCTTCCCACAGGTAAACCAGATACTTCTGATCTCTGCAATAATTGTGTCAGTGGATGTTCACATCCTAGAATCAAACTGTTCTGTACTGCTGAGATCGTCCTGATCTCATTGACCACTGCACACCAGCAATGACTTGCTGCACACAGGGTGTTCTGCAAACTTAAAGGTGCTGCCAAAGTCAGCATTTTTCCTGGGGAAGGCAGCCCCCGGAAGAAACAATTTGCTTCTAATGTTTAAAATGGCTGATCTCACACTTCTCCATTTTCCGGTCTTATGCGATTTTCTCATGGGCAGCCATTCCAACTCGACAGGATAAAATTCCCACCGTCACATCGTAAGGCTATTTTGACAGCGCCGCTCACCAGTTCTGTCGCCCCCAACCCGCAAGAAGCATTGCCGGCAGAAATTTAACCCATTCAATGAAACGCGGGCAGCCAAGCTGCTCAGGCAGGACTCTCAATCACAGGTACAAATTACAGCCAAATGAAAGATGCCGATAGGGTTTGAGCTGGAATTCCCGCTCCAGCGCCGGGCGCGCTGCTCGCACTCGCGGTGCGCAGGCGCCCCCGTGCGGCCGCCCAGCGCCGGTGCGGGCCCGGTCCCGCCACGGATCCGCCGGGATCGCCGGCTTGGAACACCTCGGGAGCGGCACTGCAGACAGCACCGGCTCTGGCACACGCTCACATGTAACCGTGTGAAACGATCGCTTCAAACAGGGCACTCGAGCATTACAGAACACATGCAATGAAACTAACAAATGTATAGTATCCCAGGCTAGAGTCAGCGCCTTGGAGAGATTTACACTTGGTCAATACAGTTGCAAAAACAGCAACTCAGATTTTGTTTGCTGTCTCAATCCTTCGTCCTCCTCTTAACAGAAATACTCCGAAGTCCTTAGGGGAGAAGAAAACAGCAAAGTAACAATATTTACCTAAGTCCCTGTTCTTCTTAAATCAAGTTGCTTTCGGCTTTTTTGTTCTGCTTGTTATTTGGGCTTTTTAACACCTAAGTGGACATAGCACATCGCACAAGTTTAGAAAGAGGTAGTACAGATTCAGATGACATTAACAACAACCATATGTAGACCTTGCCGATGCTTTGTGAATTATGCAAGACTTGCATCAATCATTATTGTTCCAAATGAGCATGTAATAAAGACAGCAAAGACGGGACTTCTTACACAGTAATGAAACAGAGCACTCAACTTGCTGTGGTTGCTCAGGAATATAAACAGTGATGCAGAGAACTGTCAGATTAATCCAGCTGGGATAGGCATCCAAACAATTGTATACTAATTTATTTTTTTAATTTGTTTCAATAGGATGACACCATAATTGGCTAAGAGACAAGACAAAGCCCACAAAAATCCATAGAAAATGGAAAAACTTCCCTTGACTTCTCTGGGTTTTGGTATGTGTCACAAACTGCAACACTGACAGCTAGGAAATGAAAAAACAGAACTACACAGAAAGCAGTTCAAATTCAATCAGTCTTTCACAGCCAGAACCCCACAGAAATTCAATATCTCTCCATTTGCTATTTCACATTTATATATCCATCTTTTACTTTTTGTCTGTACATCACACAATTAGAAGGCAATTACCTAAATTATAAATTCTTCAGATCATTAAAGCTGTTAATAAAATTTGTTTTTCAGTGTAAGAGCATTCACACACCAACCAAGAAAACAATTCTTCCTGACTGCATCCCAAACTTGACAGGAACTCCATTTCTATTTCAACCTACTCCATCTAATTATGAAGACTTTCAGCAGATCCAAATCTGCTGCATAAAGTCCAGATCCAAATATGCTGCATATCTAAATACTGCATAAAGTCACTCAAATTAAAGAAGTGGGGAAAAGAAAAGGGTAACTTGTTAAGGCACCTCATCTTTTTTGTAGAGACATTTTGCTCTCATACCTCAGCTTTGCCTTCAGCAAGTTTTGGAAGGCTCCAATTAAAACATGCTTTGAGCACTGGGCACCGTAAGGCCTGGTGATTTCCTGAATTAAAGCCTAGAAATGCATTGGAGCCTAGAAATGCTCCAATGCTCATCCCATCCTGTTGCCTTGATTTGTTAAGGTTTTCTGAACTTTTTGATGTTTACATTCTTGTAACGAACTTTCTTACACACTTTATGTAAATAACTTATTGTTTTGTATTCTTTTATGGAGGAGAAGAAATTTGATCGACTGTTAGTTTATTCAGTGTTATTGGAGAGGTTGCACTTTCACCCTCCAATTCACTGTCACTTTTAGAAATCTATAAATGTTGGAGTCAGAAAAATAAAGGTCCCTTTTCTACCTTGGAAAGAATAACATGTCCATGTCATGTTGTTTCATGTCCTATAGTGACACCATCCAGTATTTTTACTCTCCTGCCTCCAAGCTAAGTACAGAGACCTATATGTTGCAAAGCACATCTGATTTTGCATGTTCTTGCATGGGTTTCTTTCAGACTACTTTACACCTAGACCCCTTTCTAGCATTGTGCCCTCAGGAGCAAGGGCCACGGCAAGCCCAGAGTGCTGGAGTCCAAAGCCATGACTAGAAAATGACACTGTGTCTCTGCACCTTTCTAAGCAGCAGCAGCAGCTGTACCACCAGTTACATGTGTTACACAAGCAACAGCATGTGACACCCAGCAAGGAGAGACATGTCACACCACCCTCCTGCTTTTTCTTCCACTGATCCTACTCATCTGTGGGGAAAAAAATTACATACAAATGTCACACTTCAAACTTTGCTTCCTTTTATGAGCAAAACCTTTAGTGGAAACCACATAAAGTTGATTAAATTGTGGCCATTACCATTATGAGGGAGGTGCTTGTGCCCCTCTACTCCACTGTTATGAGATCTCCCATCCAGAGTGCTCCCAGCACAGGAAAGATATTAGAGCAAGGGCACAGGAGGGTCATGAAGGCTGGAGGACCTCTTCCATGAACACAGTCTGAAAGAATTTGGATTGTTCAACTGAAGACTCCAAGGACGCCTTTGAGCACCTTTCAGTACCCAAAGGGGGCTACAAGAATGCTGGAGAGGGACTTTTTACACCTGCCAATGGATGGGTGAGGTGTCCCATGGTGGGAATGGCTTCAAATTGAGAAAGAGTAGGTTTAGACTGGATAATAGGGAGAAATTCTTAACTGCGAGGGTAATGAAACACTACCACAGGTTTCTCAGAGAAGTTGTGAATGCTCCACCTGGAAAGTGTTCAATGCCAAGCTGGATGGAACTCTGAGCAATTTAGGGGAAAGTGTCTATGCCCGTGGCAGAGGTGTTAAAAACAGGTTAGAAACTGTTGTAAAATAGTTGATAATTGTTAGGCATGTACTGTTAGTTTGGTTGTTATATTGTAAAAGGGGTTAAAAGGGTAGTTATAAGAAGTACGGTATGCAACGTACCATAATACACCTAAGTAAAGTGCAGCACTCCCCAAGCGAAAGGAGCAACCGAGCAACCTGGACAGAACTGTAATGGGCCAATCAAGCGCCTAAAACCTTCATGCAAAGGAAGGATCCAAAAAGAAACCAATCCAAAGGGACAAAAAACAGGATAAAAAGGGGCATCCGACCCAGGGAAGCCGTGCCGCTCCACCTGGAACACCGGGGACCTCGCTGCTGAAGACCCAGCGCCGGAGCTGCAGCATGCTGGACGGGACCGCCCCTGCTCGGCCCGCAAGCCCCCTTGCTTTAGGCCTTTCTATTTCTTATAATAAATGCTGAAATCACTTTTACTGCCGGGAGTCTGGTCCCGTTTTTAACAGGAGGGGGTGGAACTAGATCATCTTGAAGTACCCTTCCAAGCCAAACCATTCTGGGATTCTCTCCTGTCCACCGCCAGCCCCTGCTTCGCCCCGCCGCTGCCGGCCGGGTCCTGGCCGCAACCCGGGGCTGCCAAGCCCCCGGCAGTGTCCCCTGCCCGGCTGCCCCCCCTCTCCCCGCATATTGGGCTCCCGCCCTCGCTTCGCTGGCACTACACAGACAGAGCCGCTGAAGAAGCCGCTGGTTTTAGGGCTTTCGCCCGGACCCGCACAGGACCGACCGCTTTCGGGCCCGCGCCGCCAAACGCTGCAGCGCCGGCCAGGGCCCCGTGTCCGCTCAGCGCCCTGCAGCGGGGCCGGCCCGGCACACGGCCCATGCCCACAGTGGGGCCAACCCAGCACACGCCCACAGCGGGGCCGGCCCGGCACACGCCCACAGCGGGGCTAACCCGGCCCATGCCCACAGCGGGGCCGCCGCTGCCCCGTGCCTTCTGCCGGTAGGTGCCTGCGGCCGCCGCCGAACCCTCCGCACAGCGGGACGGCGCTGGCCGTGAGCTCGGGATGGCCCCGGGGGCCCCTCCGGCGGAGCGGGGGATGGGTGGGCAGCAGGGGGTGTCTCGGGATGGCCTCTGGAGGGCGGCGAAGCGGCGCTCAGCTGTCCCTTAAAGCACAGCCCCAGCCCGCCCTTGTGCACGGGCAGCACCGCGCCTGTGCCGGGCTGCGGGGGGAGCGGAGTCAGGGAAGTGTTTTTGGGAAACACGAGACGTGTTTGTTCAAAGCGGCCTTGCTCGGTAGGTCGTTTCTGGTAACTGGCGGCACATGCGTGTTGCTGTGGCTGCTCTTTGCCCTTCCATTTCATTTCTCTGCCTGCTGTCCCTTCAAAGGAGATGCCTTCTTGTGGCCTTTCCAGGCTTCGGGCTTCCTGCCGGACTGTAGTCCACTAGATAGTGAACTCCGTGGGCGCCAGGGAAAAGGAGGAAAACACTCATCAGATGCATTTGAAAGACGTTCTTAATTATCCTTTCCAAAAAAATACCCCACCTCTAACTTGACGAGTGTTGTGACTTATAATGATGGCTTGCAATCCTAAAAGCACTTCAAATGCAGTGCTTAATAGAGCTAAATAAAGCCGGGTTCTCATTAACTAAAAAAGAGCTGGTGGTTGTTTAAGATCCATCAGATCTTCAGATTTGTAATTTGCCATTAAAACTCCAGAGCTGACAGTAAAGGGAGAGGAAAGGGGATTTCTCCTGCTCACTGCCATACCACAAATTACCCAGATCAAAAGCATTATTTGTGGGAGATGCACATACTAAAACCACACTGCAGTTCTTATTCCCTTTTCTAGCTTCATGTCCAACTAATTATTCTTTCTCCATAGATATGAATTACTCTAGGTTCATCACCACTGTGAGTGCAGCAAGAAAAGCATCTCCAATAAGACTGCTGAGTGAGTACCTGTCCCTTCTTCCCAGTTTCTCTGACAGTACCATTCTATGTTCTGGTCCGTGCTGGGGTATCATGGCTTAAGACTTTAAAAGGTTTGAAAGAAAACCATGCTGTAAGCTTACCAAGCAGCTTTTGTCAAGCAGAGATGCCAAGCAGGTATAAAGAAAAAGGAGGTGAATAGCCTTGAACTATTTCAGAAACCCATCCAGACAGATGAATTAGAATTATCACTTTTACAAGTGTCTGAAAAGTCTCTGCTACTGTTTCTGAACACAGGCTTTTGGCACAGTTTGCAACTGAGTTTATGTTGTGTGTCCAGGAACAAGCAACTGCTAGTGACTTGAAATTCAGTCCCTCCAGGTTTCTTTCCACTTCATTTTCCTGTATCCTGTTCATGTCCGTAAATGCCTCAGCACCCCCACCCACTCAGTATTACTACACTTCCCTTTTCCATATTAATCTATCTTTAGGCTACAACATTACATTGTCTTCCATGTGACAGATGGAAGAGCTTAACTGCCTGCTTGTTTACTCAGCTGAAACCCACAGAGACCTGACAGAATCCAAGCATGAGACATACATCACTAGTTAAGCCTTCAGGGGTCAATTTCCCCTCTTGGTAAGGGGCTGGCATTTGCTGTTCTGCTTAAAATGCTTCACACAGGTACAGAAGAGTCATGTAATTCACTCTAGGCAGCCTCTTTCTCAAGTGATCTGTTAATATGCATCCAAACAGAAGTATTAAGCAGCACAGTTCCTGTAGATAGACATATTGAGCCTTCAGTTTTGATGACAAAGTAAATCTCTCTTTACCAGGCCAAAAGTCACAGGCATAACACAAATTGGTGAAATAACTGATAAGAATTAACTCCCCATGTTCAAGTCTGCTAATAAGTTCTGGGAAATAAACTCTGTAACAGGCCACTTTTAAGCCAGATCTGGTGTCATCTGTCCTCTCATATCTGATGTAAAACTGTCAAGCCAGCATGAATGCCATATTGGGAGTTCTTAGATTTAATGCAATCAAGTGCCCATGCTGGATTAAGGTCTGGTCTGCACTGCATAGATTGGATCTGAATGATTGTGAAACTGTGACTTAAAAGCAGGAATTAAGATTTTCTTCATAGCGAATTACTTACGCAGTGCCTCTGCCACTAAAACTGGGCTGCTAGAAACATTTCCATTCCCTTATAGAAAAGCTAAAATCATCTGTCAGTATAGCTGCCAGATCAGCTGAAGTGAGACTGAATGAAAAACAGAACAAAAAACAAAACCATTCAATTCAAGTCAGTCTAAACAGAAGATCATTTAGATTTTAAATTCTTGAAGCTCAGAAGACACCAGTCATGACAGTTTTTGTAACAGAGCTGTCCAGATTGCTTCAAAATAAATTACAAATAGCTTTTTTAACTTAAAATGATTTTTTGTTTTAGTCTGTCCTAGCAGTATCTCCCTCCTGGGGCCCCCAAACACCTATTTAATCCAAGCAGAAAGCTGACTTTAAGAAGAGTTATCCTTTTGAATTCATGATAGCTAAACAAGTAAATTGAAAAATAGAAGTAGTTTTCTGGGCCATTATTAAATATTGGCCCAGAAAATAGATTAAAGGATATGCTCACCATTGTAACAATCAAATTGTAACCAAGGTGTTTTCCTTTTACTCTAGCTGAATTGATGCAGAAGTCTCCTCCATCTCTTATCTCTCTGGCTGGAGGGGCACCAAATCCTAATGTCTTTCCATTTAAGAGGGCAACAGTTGACATTGGACATGGAACACCTATTGAGATTGGGGAAGATCTGATGAAGAGAGCTCTCCAATACTCAGCCTCAGCAGGGTATCTGTCACAGCTGCTTGCACTTCAAGATACCAGAAGCTAAGGATCATAATATCCTTTATTATTGCATTAAGTCACCTATGTTTTTAAAACCTGTTCATAAAGCCCTTTGTGTCAAAAAATAGGTTCTTCCCAAAACTCAAGGTTGTTTTTTTTTTTTTTAATTTGCCTCAATATTTACATTTGAGTTCCAGTGGAAAAATTTGCAATGAGTTATGTAAAAAGGAAAAAAAAAATCACTTCAATCACTTAAAACCCTAATCCTAGTATTTCTCAATCCAGAGCATTTCCTAGCTATTAGTATTTGAGAATCCAGACACCCAAATCAGATTTTATTTAAAAGATACTGCATTACAATACACAGTTTCTATATTTTGGAGTATTTATTTTCATTTGGCACCATATACTAAAGTCAGTGTGTAGAACTTGTGGTAGTTGAGTGGCGGTATTTATAGAATTGTCATTTTTGGTACAAAAATTGCATATCATTATATTGTATATCATTATATTGCTTTAGTGCTTATGTAAACTTCTCAGCAGACAGCACTGAGTCAGGTGAGGACAGGTTTGCAAAAAGACTGGGGTACCTACAGAGATACATGGGGCATCAGTTAAAACTTTCCTTAATATTTAAATGAACCCACCATTTGTGAATATCCTACAAGATCTTATGGCCTTTTCTGGAAAACGTGTTTTAGAAATGCTTGTAATCTGCAGCAGGTTACAAGCAGCATTAAGAACTTTGTCACACTGCCAGATTTGAGTACAGAATGGTCATTTCTAGGAGGGGATATTGTTCAACCTCCACCCTGTTTCATCCTTGGCAATAATTTCTGCCCAGATTTTACTATGATAATTTGGTGTATGGACCACAGGTGCTCCTCTCATTTTCTTAATTTGATAAAACAGTCATAGCAATTGCATTTAAGTGTATCTGTGTGACAGTTGAAATCAAAGTCAGGACTGCATGCTAGATTTGGCAGGGATTTAGAGGAACAGGCTAGCTTTGGCCTATATAAGGTCTGAGATATGCCTTCTTATTCACATTTCAGGATTCCAGAGCTGTTATCTTGGCTAAAAGATTTCCAGCAGAACTTACATGATCCCCCCACAGCCAATTACAGTCCTGAGCAAGGACAGATGGAAGTGTGTGTCACAACTGGCAGCCAGGAAGGCTTGTGTAAAGTAAGACCAAAAGATTCATATGTCAGAAGCATTTCATTCAGAGAGATGCTTATTCTTGCATCACTTCAGCTATATTCAGCATTAAGTGCTCTCTATAACTATATGCAGGGTACTGTTTCATGTACTCTTTCTCCATAGATATGAGTTACTCTAGGTTTATGTACAAGATGAGGGAAATGCAATAAAATTGGAGTGGCATTCTAGACTGTCAGGACTGCATGAAAGTTCAGGTGACCAAAGAGCCTGTGTAGAAAACATGCAATAAGGTAACATATCATGTTACTCAAGTAGTGCAATAATAAGTGCATAGAGGCTTTACCATAATTCTATTTTAAATATGCTTCTTCTCATTTTTACTTCCTGATTTTTTGGGGTTTTTACTTCCTGAAATAATTATCCTTTCCAGTCTACTCTCACTGCTGTTTAGTTGTTTCTTTCTATAACTTATACACTCTGAAAGCGTGCTTCAGAGCACTGTCTTTCCATGTCAAGTTGGTAACCTATCTTAATTTGGCTCTAAAGCAGATTTTTCATCCATTCATTGTCTTTCTCACAGACAAGATATTGATATGGTTAGGGAATTACTAGTATCTAATCAAGGTTTTTAGTCCCACTAAGAAGTCAAAAGTACAAAGCACATGTATAAAAACTGAACAATCTTTAAAACAGAATATTTTCTTTTGTAGGTGTTTGAAATGCTCATTAATCCTGGAGACAACATCCTTTTGGATGCACCCACATACTCGGGGACACTAGCAGCTGTAAGTATTCCTTAGCTACAAAACATTGTCAATGTTACATTTGAACTAAACAGCAGTTTAATGCCTGATCTTCTGTATTTGCCATAAAAACATATCTAAGACTCAAGATTTTAGTGTCCGACCAGTTAAGTTCATAAATATTAATTCATAGAAGGTTTCCTACTAAAAGTTCTGTGAAAGCTATTTGAAATTCCTCTTCCAAACACTAGTTCATTCCAGGGCTAAGATCACATATGGGACTGGAAAGAAAGCCATCAGGACCTAGTTTGGTTGAATTAAATTTATAACAAGCGGGTGTGTTAGAATGTTTATCTGAAGTATTTAATGATCAGAGTATACAATTTAAAAAAAGTGTAATATAAAAAAAGTGTAATATTGGAATAGGCCTGAAGCAACCATATATGAGTACAAAGATATGAATTAGTGAGAACTGTAGAAAAGCAGCAAAGTTTACTTCTGAAAAGTAGTTTAATCAGTATAAAATTAAATGCCTCAAAACACCGAAGAGTTGCAAGAAGGGTTAGAATATTCAGTTGTCCCCCCTTGCATCAAAATAAATTGTTATTGCTCACTGTCCTATATTTGAATATGTAGTCTAATCAGCTGTACTCTTTTAGGAATGTATTTTGACAATGCAGCAGTTCGCAGTTTTACTTAAAAATGCAGAGCACTACATGGTACAAATTGAAATTCCACAGAGGAGGGACAGCAAGCTTTATCATTGGTATTTTACCTATATTTTTTCATGCTGCTGTCAACATGTCACTGCAGTAGCATCATTTCATTCTCCTTTTTATTGCTGAATTTATCTATTGAGAGAACAGATTCCTTGCCCTTTGTCAGGGAAGAGTAGCTTAAAACTCTGACATTTCCACCTAAGTAGAATGTATATTGTCAGTAGGAAACAAAGGTGCCGTGACCTTAACCGTCTGTGGTGAGAGCATGAGAAGTCATGAGAGAACAGTTCAGATTCACAAACTCCCTTTCCACTTCAAAAACCAAATCTGATTTCCTAGAAAAGAGCAGCAATTGAACATAGGAGTTACCCATTTCCTCTGAGTTAGCTTAGTAGAACAAATAAAGAGTAATGTGGTAAGTTTGACAAGCCTTACAGCAAATTCAGGCAAACTTTTATTTGACTCATGAGCAAATGGAGCTTGAGATATCTATAAAATCAAAAAGAAAGACTTTGTATTTATGAAATGCTATGGTGACAATGACAAAAGGAAGGCCTTTGAATTACACAATTATGACAGTTTTGTTCTTTCTATCAACAGCTGAGACCCTTGGGTTGTAATATAATTAATATTCCTAGTGACCAACATGGCATTATTCCAAAAGCTTTAAAAGAAATTCTGTCTGCTTGGAGCCCAGAGGATGTAAAAAATTGTAGCAATCACCTCCCCAAATTCCTGTACACTATTCCAAATGGATGCAACCCAACTGGCAACTCACTGACCACAGAGCGCAAAAAGGAGATTTATCAGGTATGGAGCTGTGGTCTTGTGAGCCTTGTAGGTGGAAATAGATAAATATCTGCCTTCTTTCAGTTGAAGATATCCTATGTTTGCTATTTAGGCCCATTATTGGTCCAGTAAACATTCCTCCTAGAACTTGCTTGTAGCAGAATCTCTTCCACAGCAGCTCTTCTAGGTAAATTGTTTTTCAGTGGTAGCCCACTGGCAGCTGGTACCTTGGCCATGGGCTTCCAACGGGACTTACTGCATGCTGCCTGCACGGTTTGAATGCCACAAGGAACAGAGCTTCAGTTGCATACTAGGGTCTGTGTACTATAGGTACCATGATTACTCTTAAAATTTTTTGATATCTAAATTGGGCACTTGAAGGCTTCTTATCATGGGGGCTTCTAGATAATGAATGGCCAATCAATAGAATCATAATATGATGCTGGTTAAAAAAAAAATCCACCTGACTGAATTTGCAGCATCTTTAACTCTTATTTCTTTTGGTACTTTTTATCAACTTATTTAGCTTGCAAGAAAATATGATTTTCTCATAATAGAAGATGATCCTTACTACTTTCTTCAGTTTGAAAAGGTAATTTTTCTTTCATAATCCTTATAACACCTTATTTTCTGGGGAGAAACTGAAGTTTACACAAGAGAACTAAGGTTTGAGCCCTGAACCTTACTGCATGCCTCTTCTTCATGTCCTACCAAGGCATTTGTAGGCCTGACAGTCTGTGCTCCTTTCAGTAATTTTCCCCTTTGTGGTATTTTATATCCTGGGAATTAGTGGTTCAAATTTCTCAAGCCTCATACAGGATAGAATTTTTCAGTCATCAGAAAATTACAAAGACTTTGCGTTCAGAGCAAAGCAAGTACATCACTGAAGCAGCACTTTGAAAATTTCAGCCTCTTAATGTTCCTTTCTCCCTGTCTCTTCTTTCATTCAGCAGAAGACTGCATACTCTGCACCTACTATATCCCTTTGCCTTTTGGAGAATCTGGGAGTTCTCCCAGGTACCACATGTAATGGTACTGGATAGGCAGCTTCCCTTCATGTAAATTTCCTGTAAATTTCATATGTGAATCTACAGTTACTCAGTCTTTAAAAGCACCTAACTTCAGAAATCAAAATGGGTCTTACAAAGCACCAAAATGTTGGTAGAAGATAAAGGTCAGCATTTTCTCTTTTGAAATATGTTTTTATGGAAGGAGGCAATAAACCTGCCACACTTATTGAATAGTATTGTAAAGCTTTGTAAGAAAATGTAGGGGAGAAGGTGTAAAAACAGAATTCACGATAAGGAAAAGGTATGCTGGACTCAGATCTTCACAATTTGGTCCTATCTTCTGATTTTACTTTTTAATATAGCAAAGCAAAATGTTACAAGGCTCCATTTTAGAAATCACAATACCTCTTTACTCCACAAGAAATCTTGGCAGAAAAGTCATTATTTCTCTCTCCTTCTTATGGCATCATACCAATTCTTAAACTCAACACTTGTGTGCATAACAGTGGGCTAAGCAATCATCAAAAATAACAAAGCTGATTTCTTCAAGATGTTCACAGAATACTGTAATCACATCTCAGAAAGCTAGGCTAAGCAATCACTTGTCAGGAAGTTACTGAAATGTTTTCCTTGGAACACACATTTGAGAAATTGTGTCTTCCTAGTAAAGAAAATAATTCCATTATAATCCTTACTAGGAAAAATCCTTGAATTTTGTTTTTTATTCTTTATTCCAAGCCATGGGCTCCAACTTTCCTCTCAATGGATGTGGATGGCCGAGTTATCAGGACCGACTCTTTCTCTAAAATTCTCTCATCTGGGTAAGGCCAGCTGCAGACCACTTAGCATTGCCTATTCACTTAAGCTGCAAGACTTCATATGAAGTGATGAGACATGCCATAGTGTTTCCTCATTTACTAACTAGCCACTTCTGAAATGAACCTCAGAATCAATGGCTTTTCGCACTCTTCTCACTTTTCATGTCATCTCTTGGCAGTCATTTTACTCCAGGTTCTGTTTCTCTTCTGAAGCAGATAGCTAAGCCTCTCCCCCCAGGCAGCCCATTCTTGTAGGCACAATCTAGGCAGAAAAACAGATGCTGGATTCCAGCTCTGTTCCTGGAACTCTTAGGAGCTTTTCTCCTTTTTTCCATTTCCCTTTTTATCTATAGCTTAGTATTCCTGCAAGCTCCCTGAACTTGTAACACAGAAAAGAAACTATAATTCTTCACAAACTGTTCATAGGCTTGTACTCATATCTAGCCTTCCAGTTCTTTCAGGTTGTTTCCACCTGCCAGAAAAAGAACCAACTTGGCTGTTTTCCATTTCACACAAGTCAATGTATTTGATTTTTAGCTTGCTTTTGTCTGTTAACCTAATAGATATAAAAAAAATAATGTGAAGTCTGCATTGGCAGATAGTGGATTATAACCCATCCTAGAGAAAGTGAGGAGACAACATAACACTAAGTGTAATTGCATTTTCAGAATTCACACCACAAAATGGCATGACACAGTATTATCTTTTCCAAAGACATATATGAGTTTATGGGTTCCATTTTTCTTCAAATAAAAACTTCACCAATCTGTAAAGATAGGTAATAAGAATTGAAGCATAAAGAACCATCCAGTTTATCAATCTATATTCCATTCCTTCTGCAGTACCGAAAGGGAGTGAAAGAGTAAAGCCATTTGCCACTTACCTGTTTTTCATAAAGCCTGAGCATTCAGGATCTTTTATTATGGGAAAACTTGTCTTTCCTTCCCTTTGATTCATGTTATCTTTATGGTTGCAGAAGATAGCTTCTAAACATAGATTTTGTCCTGAAGCCTCATAACTAAGAAGCTACTGTAAGCATTAAAACCTCTTAAATGTTTTTATTTCATTACTTTGATACTCGGCTTCTAAATTGTATAACCTGAGGGCAGTATTAAGATATAGATAAATTTGAATGCATAAGAGATCCTTACACTATCAATGAAATTGTTGCATGTTTTCCCACATATAACCCAGACAAAGTATTAGCACATTGCATTTCTGTGGTAACTTTTTGTTTGTTTGGTTTCCAGTTTAAGAATTGGTTTTCTGACGGGTCCCAAGCCTCTCATTGACAGAGTCGTTCTTCACATTCAGGTGTCAACAATGCACACCAGCACTTTCACACAGGCAAGTACCAAGCCACCAAATGAATTGTATTTAGAGAAGGCAACATATCCCAAGTTATACGAAACTGCAAGCAAAGAACTTTGTTTATGCACATGCATTGTCAATTTCATACAGTTTTGTTTATGCACATGCATTGTCAATTCTGCCAAAGGAAGAGAGACCATCAAAGAACCAGAGCTAGAGGGTTGTCTCAGTGCATGAATAGTTCAGCTGATATCCCTTAACCCTCAGATTTCAAAAATCAAGTTTTGAAATACTTGATCTCTTCCTGGTAGGTTCTTTTGAAAAACCTTAATGTAAAGCGCAGTATGGGAGAAACACTCGTTTATTATTTTTTATTCTACTTTTCAATTAAAACAATACTGGCAGCCCACAAAGACACTTCAAAGCAAGCTGACAAGTACAGCCCCTTTATGGTTAGTAATAAGGAAAGGAGACAGTGAACACATCTAAATACAGCTTCCATCTTCCAGCTCCATTAGTTCATCACTGCTAAAGCAGAGAGGCTGATGTGGATAGGAAGGTAAAGCAATATACATTGCCTTCCTCTTTCTCCCCATGTACCATATTTAGCTCTTTATCCATTTTTCCCTCCCCCCCACCCCAGCTTCCAGATACCAATGCCATGATCCTTGGAGACACCAGTAACATGGACAATAATAACCTTGGCACATCTGTTTATAAGGGCTCCCAGAGACACCGCATGCAATTTCATGTCTGGGGAATGTTAAATAGTGCATCTGGCCATGAATCTTTTGATGATTGTGGAACAGTCCTGTTTAAAGCATGGTGTTGATGATGTGTTTTATTTCTTTAGATTATGATATCACAGCTCCTTCAGCAATGGGGACAAAAGGGTTTCTTGGAGCATATAGACAGGTAGGGTTATCTCCTATGCTGAATCTTATCATCTGTCATTCTGCTACTTGTTGCCTACAACAAACATTCTTTGTAGTAAACAAGTCAGAGGAGATGGTCCAGTATTAGGCCAAGTAGGCAAGACAGATGACCAAGACTGCTGGGTTCACACAAGAGCCCTGAAGAGACACAGTGCGAGGTTGCAGACAGGCAGGTCAGGGCATGTCACCTCCTGCTCCAGGCAGACAATCCACCAGTCCATTGGCACAAACATCATGCAGCTCCTACCTGAAGGGAACTTGAGAGGATCCTGGAAGCATCAAGCCAGTGAAACAAGTTTTGATCCCTGCTAAAGTGTTAGGGTCTATAGCAAAAGCTGAGATCTCTGAGCACAGGATCTATTGTGAAAGAGTCAGCATAGCCTTTATAAAGGGAGCTCACTATGTTAGCAGGAATTTACACTCTTGCCATCCTTGATCTCCTGATTGGGGATACTGATGGAAAAACAGTGAAGTTCATCTACACACACTAAACATTGCCTCTCACTGTTAGGGAGCACTGGGCTACCATCTAACTCACAAGACATTTCTTGCATACTGGCTGACACACATTTAGTTTTCATTTATTATGCAGGAGGAGCATAGTTTCTCTTGACAGTCAGTGCCTCATTTTATATGCTCTACTTGGATATCATTAGAGCCACAAGTTTCTCACTTCAGTAGGAGTGTACTACACTCTGCAAAGGCCTGTAACAGCAACATGAGAAAAACATGCAAGTTCTTATATCTCACTGTAACATGCACCTGTGCCCCTTGATGTTCATACTGTTAACAGCAATATTTGGAAAAAAATACCCCAAACTAGACACATCAGCCTTAGCGTTGCTTTGTTTTAAGACTTAGGAACATAAAGAGAAATCTCACAGAAGAACTTGGACCACACTTTAGCTCAACTTTCAGTAGTTCCCAAAAAAAAAAATCCCAAATGCATCTCTTCACTTACCTCTTTCTTGTAGGTCAAAAGGCAGCCTTGATCAAGCTTGAAGGCTGTTCTTGCACTTAAACAAATGAAAACAGGGCTGCAGTGGGGCAGCTGCAGTGCTTTATAACCTTACTGATGAAGCCTTACAGCTGACTGCAATCCCTTCCAGCAAGGGTGAGGATCAGGCTTTGGAGTAGAAGATTGTTTTTTTTTAGAGCAGCTACATTTTTGGGGAAGTTTCATCTTAGTAATTGTTAGGCTTTCAACATGTAATTAAAATGGTAACCGGATTTGCAATTTTGGTAAAAGATGCACAAAGGAGATTTACTCTCTAATATAGAATGTAGCAATAGATACACTGAGCCCCAAAACTGTTTAAGTCTCTGGAGGTATTGGTGTTTGTGTATCAGATATAATAAAATACATCCATAAATCAAAACTATTGGTTCAGAAAATATTTTTAAAAATACAAATGTAAAATTATGTAAATTATGCAAATTACTAAGGATGTTTTCTCAAGACATGGGAACACATTTGCATTTGAATTATGAACTCAGTATCAGGCATTTCTCTTGTGTCTTCTGTTGCACAGCTGTGTCATTTTATGTCAACAAAAGCCACTGCTTGTGACTTGTCCATGCTAAAACTTGGGTTAGGGTCATTTTTTCCCAATAAGAGATTACATTATTTGAAAGTTTTACCTAAAGTATGAAGGAGATATGTCCAAAAGCTTAGAAAGGGGAAGCTGTCAAATAGCTGTGACAGGTTTATCATATGATTTGCTTTTTACCTTGTTAAATGTCATTTCCGTGAGTACCCATTACACAAATTCAACCCAAACGCACAAATGTTAAGTCTGTGCTTTTGCATATGTTGAAGTCCCTAATTTTCTTCAGTGTGTGTGCTTTGTGCAGTAAATACTGTTAACAGGACTTATATCCACTGCTATAATAGACAGATTGGATGTAACATATAAAAGGTTTCTGTGGTATGTGTAAAGCTGAGGAAACAGCCACACAGGGACTTTCTCTGTCTGGTTGTTCAGTGCTCTGTTGGAGGTGCAGTGAAGCAGTAAAGACTTCTCGGATACATATCCTAAGTTTTATATGCACAGTATAATGTGTTGTGCCCACCTAGGATATGCTTGCATTTCTATTAAATGTGCACTTGAGTTCTTCAAGTAGGAAAGCTTTGTTTCTGCCTCCAGAAACAGACTCTGAAAGGATATGAGTTCATGACTTTGAATTGATAATTTGCTTTCAGAGTGGTGGACTTCTACAGGATCCAGCGGGATGCAATGCTCACTGCTGCTGACAAGTGGTTAAAAGGTCAGAGTGCAACACAGATAATCACTTAAATTTTTTTGCTAGCTATTTATCATCTTTGTGCTCAAGATAAATCACTTAAGTTCATCTCTTGACTGAAGTGACAGATAAGCACTATAAGCAAATCAATTGCATTAAATATTAAGCTTAGGACAAATACTCTATTGCTACATTTTTGTGCTTTCTGGTAGGACAGGAAGATGGATGGTGATGAAAAAAATCTCACCACATTACTATTTAAAGCAATTTTACAAAGAGCCTGTATTTCACTTCATTATGTTCTTATACTTTCGATGTTTAAAATATCTGTCTTTAAAAAAATCTCTGAAATAGAGACCTTAATTTAAAAGAAGGTACAAAAAATCGCTATAGCAATAGTGATAATGTTTGTATCAGCAAATCTAAAACATCACTGAATCTATGATGTATCCATTAGAAGTGGGGCATAAGTTTCTTCCTTGATTCCGTTTTCTCTCTCTCTCTTTCTCCAGACTTGGCAGAATGGTACCCTCCTGCTGCTGGCATGTTCTTATGGATCAAAATTAAGGGTATTTCTGATACACAGCAGCTGATAATGGAAAAGGCTTTGAAGAAAGAAGTATGACATGATTTAATGACTTGTGATCTTAAAACAAAAAAGGGAGGGATAAAATATCTGTATCTATCCATATGTGCACACATAAAAAAGCAGGGGGACTTGCTGTGCACCATCATTAAGTCTGCAAGTCAGGCACTGTGGCATAGTTATTGACTAACAAAATATTTTCATGACTCCATTCAGATGTTGATATTTTATCAGTTTACTTAAATTGAAACCAATATAACATATGGTACAATGTCATTATATATGACATACATATAATATTAATATATATACCTAAATGTGTGATGGCTGTTGACTAAAATTTTTTAATGAGAGAAATTAAGTTTGGGTTTATTTCTCCAATTTATAAGATCCAGCACTGAGTAAGCTACACCCCAGGTGCCTCTAAGCATTGTGATAATATGAACAAGACCTGGTAACCAAAACCAAAGACTCCTTGGTTTTATTATGAAAAGTCTGGTTACAGGTTGCATATTTTTGTCTCCTCATTTTGAAAAAAGGAATATATTACACCATGCTCACACAAGTGTGTAAGCACTGAGCTTTCTCAAATTTAATTTAACATAGTGTTTTAAAAATGTAGAAGTGATAATAACTGTGTGGTTAATCACTTTTTCATAGGTATTACTGGTTCCTGGAGGAGCATTCAATATTGATAGTTCAGAGCCTAGTTCTTATGTCAGAGCTTCCTTCTCTCTGCCTTCTCCTGCCCAGATGGATCTGGTGAGATTTTTTTTTTTACATTCTTATCAAGACAATTTCTCACACAGTAATGCTCCTTTATTTTTTACATCCTTCTCCTTATATTTCTTCTTGAATGTTAGAGGTTTTAGTCTGTAGGTGATTAAGCAGTACTTTCACAGCAGTATTAACTGTTCCTTAAGCAAGATACTCATCCAAATGATCTGCAAGATACCAAATTCTGAGGACCATTAAGAATTTCTCTGTGTATCTTATACATACAGTGTCTCACACTTAAACCTCCCAGACATTATTTAGAAATGCTTTACTGAAGCCAGAGTACTTGCTTATGCATTAGCAGGCATCATGTATCTTTGAGACTTTGGATTGCCAAGATTCTGAAATTGAATTACCTGTGTTCTTTTTTTGTGTGTGTGTTGGCAATTCAATTCTTTGTAAGAAAGACTGTTGTTTTCCTTTCATACAATTTACATACAAGCATAATTTTATTATTTATTATTCTATGATTATTTTTTATTTATTATTATTCCTGATACTATTATCAGGAACTAATCTTTTATGTGTGTTAGGAGCATTTTTGATTTTATTTGGCTCTATCTATAAAATCAGTGGGAGAAAAGATAGGAGACATTTATTTGTGCAGATTTAATACTGATTTGATTGGGGTGCTTGAAACAGTTCAGTATTTGTAGTTGTACTTTCATGCAGTTGCAAAGGCTTGTAACAGATAAGTACTTCTATTGCCAATTTAGTTCTTCTGTATTTCTTCTCTTTTTTCCTTTTTCTTTGTTAAAGTAATTGATAACCATACTTTTGACAGTTGAGCTGTATTTTTATATGCTTCCCCACTCAACTGTTCTTCCTTTTTTTCCACTTTTGGAGTCCCTGGGCTAAGGGACTCCAAAAATCTAACTAATACTAAGTTAAAAGAGATACTCTTTCAGGGATCACTAGTTTGTTAGAAGTTATATCTGAGCTCCAAATAACCTTTGAACATCAATATATGCATATTTCTGTTTCAGAAATCTCTGCCTTTTATTTTCTATCAGAGAATCGGAAGCTTTTTGCAGTCAAACGCCATACATGATTTTATAAAAGGAAAAGAAAGAATATCAGCAGAGCTTTGCATTATAAAATATTGATTCTATACAGTTTGGGCAATTTTAGTAGCTTTACAGGTTTGACGTGTTCCCTGTTCATGTAATGCTGAAATATAAATGTGAACCATATTTTTCATTGCAGGCCTTCAAGAGACTGGCTGACCTTATAAAAGAATCTTTGTGAAAAAGCTAAATAGAGCTCTTGCAGTAATAAAAATCATCTCCAGAAAATAGTTATTAACATTTGGATTTCATCAAAACACTTTATAAGCAAGCACAATACAGTGGATGTTTCCTTACATCTTTTCAGCTAAAAAAAAGACTGAAAATGAAAGTGAAAAACAATTTGCCTAATTTTTTTTTGACAGGACATTGCATTACAAAATGTATCTAATTCAGAAACATTTAAAATACTCAAAACCAAAATGTTCTATTTCCTGTACAATCCATGGTTTTGTTAGACTTAAATTGATTTTTGCTCTGACTTTTGTTTTCCATTTGAGTTGGGAAACAGAAATCATTTACTTAGAAAGTTGCACTTGAGGTGGTCTTAGCCACTATTACTTCTCACTATTAATATCAACTGATACATTCCTCCAAAAATCTTATGTTGGGATTGTCTCATGGGTCACTTCCATTCTTGTCCTTCTGTATGGCATCTGGTTTTAATGATTTGAGGATTAGTATTTAATTCTACTGAAGTTTTGTCAGGTACAGCTGATGTAACTATGTTAACAAATTAAAGCTGATCCAATAAAATGAGGCTATGATTACAAATAAACTGAGGTCCATTGCAATTTGCAAGGGTATTCTCTAATTTGTAAAAGGTATTCTGATTGCTGGTTTTTTTCTTCAGTTTGTGAATAATTACTCTGTACCTGTTGTAGAAAATCTCTGGTTTGCCAAGGCATGTGGATGTACTAAAGGAACTACTCCTTGTTATTCAGTCAGATGTGGTTGTGAATGGAGAGTGTAAGTAACTGAAGAGGGGACACAGGGGAATGGACACTACCCTAACACTGCCAGATGCAAACAAAATGAAAAAATAAAGAGATGTTTCAGTCTCTTGTTCCTTGGTTATTGTCATCCCAAACATTTGATACTCAGCAACTGGTACAAAACCTTCAGAATGTTTCAACTGAACTGATTCTCCAAGGCTTCCTGTTTGGGTTAGTGACTTCAGTTTTACTCACTGTTTGGATGAAAGCACTGTGGTTTTTCACCAATATCAGATGGCTGTTTCTTTATGTGCAACTGTTCAGAATTTCAAAGTAAAACATTGTTCAAGGATCTAGTTAGCCATTTAGCAGACCAGGCAACCCAAGCAAATAAGGACCAGGCACAACCTGGAAGTTTCACAACAGAATTTACTACTACAAATTATTATTATTACAAATTATTGTAATACTTACAATAATTTTCATTCCCTCTTTTCCCCCTAGTTATAAATAGCATGTGTCACAACAAACTAGCACAGATATATGCCTTTCCCAGCATCCCTCCCATTGGCAGGATCATTCCAGTGCCTCCAGCCCAGCATCACTTTTCATGTCAGTCTCAAGCCATTTAATTTAGTCACACATCCACACCATCTTGAGCAGCACATCTAAGATCAATCCTTTGCTCAATTCCCAGATTACTGCAGCTTTTAGGTAAATCCACTGGAGAGGAACTGACATAGGTAGGCAAGGTGGTGCAGTGGATGGGGCTGGCCCCTCCACAGAGTCAGGCTGGGCTGGGGCAGCCCAGACCCAGGGAGTGACAAAGTGTAGGGAGAGCCTGCAGTCCCAAATCTGCTCTGAGAGTGCCAACACTGTCTTTGAAGACAAACTTGTCTCATTTTACATGGTTTGATGGTGCTAATGGGGGATCCAAACTAGCAGTGCCTCCTGTGCAGTGCTGCTCAACAGGAAGTATTCACATCTCAACTCACTTTGATAAGCATGTATAGAAATGATGAAAACTCTAATGTTGCCATCAGGCAATTTTTATCTTGGTCTCAATTGCAAAAATTATTTTATACAACAACAAACTGACATGTCTGTTTAATTAAAATAATATTTTTATAGAGGAATAAATGTAAACCAAAATTAAGACTGATTTTAGTTCTAGGTAACTGTGATTGTCTAATGTTTTGGTCATATTGTCATTCATCCAAACCTGAATTCAATAAACAAAATCAAAATACCATTATTAAGTAAGCCTTAAATTGGTGATGTGTTGAATGAAACACCTCTTAATTTTCTGAGAGCTAAATGTTAATTCGGTTGAGTGTAAGCAAAATGCAATTCCATTTGTGCCACATTACCTGGTTTTGCTATCAGCTAATTTAATTTAGAGAGAGGGCTTTTTTCTTCCCAACTGTGGTGATGCATCTGTAATGAAATTAATACCCTGAACAATGCAAATTGAACAATGGCAGGGAAATCCTATATGCACATGCTGTTTCCATGAACCTCTTAATGCACATTTTCTGGTCTCTTGGGAGAGAGCTTTCACTGTTACTAAAATGTTCATGGAGGAAGCCACTTGGGACAAAAGGAAAAGGGTGGGTAACATGTTTGCATAGGAAGAAATGACAAGGCAAATTAAAGTTTTGGGGTTCCCTTTTCATTTCATCCGTCCATGAGCAAATAACCTCTCTCATTCATAGCTGGGTTTAAGCCATCTGCTGCAAGTGACACAATCTGCCACTGGGGAAGAGAGGACACAGAGGAAGGGAAGGGCGGGGCTCGGTGTGGGGAGCGCAGCCCCCAGTGCTGCCCTGGTGGGGCGCTTGAGGAGGAGGTTGCTGCAGTGCTGGAGAGAGCTGCCTGGCACGGCAGCCCCCCAGAGCCTGGCCCTTGCTTCTGAGTAAGCATTTAGCTGCCCATTCTCTTGTACCTGCACTCTGGTTCCGCTGCATTTTCACACTTTTGGCAGATGAAAACCACCTAGAAATTCTGGGCAAAGTCTGGACACTTGTAAATTCTATTTGCATTTTAAAAAACGTATTTCAGTTTTACTTGTATTTTTAAATCTTGTGACCTACAGATCTGCAGTTCTTTTGGTCCTGCCTTTGCAATCTGGACTGTGACCCACTGAGGCAAATATGTAAAAGAACTCCACTTGAGGCCTCAGGTTTAAGCATTTATATTTTTCAGATTCTGTACTGCTTTAGTGTGTACTTCTGAGTTTCATATTAGGAGACGGTAAGCTCTCTTCACAGAGTAGGTAGACAAAACAATTCCTTCTTTAGCTGGGGACCAAGGACAAAAGATCCAAATTTCAGGCCCAAGAGCATAAACAACATGGACTGAAGAAAGAAAACAAGAAGGATGGGACTTCATGGCCTAAAGTTGTAGTTGGACAATTGATTCCAATATGTAAATTGACCAGAATTTATAAAAGTGTGAGACCCCATGACTGGTTGTCCATTTTGTGACCATTTTGGGTTCACCTTGGGTGTAGCCCTGCCTGGGCTCTTGTACTGCCCAAGGTGTATCCATTGAGGTTTTTAATAAATACCTACTCTATTCTCTAACTCCATCTAGCTCTGTTCTAGGTCAGCCTTCACAAGGCATCACATTGAGCTGAGCTGTGCATGTCCTAATGTGTCTTGTTTTCTTTATTGTTCAATAACAGGTTTTGAGCAGCCCACTCTAGACAGTCTTATATTGGGAATAGAACAGTTGCAGTTGCAGTGTTTGAACTTTATTATTCTGAATAAAAATGCAAAGAAACACGCATTTTCATTCTTCTAATACTGTTCCCAGGAATACCATGCTGTACCTGACTTTTCTCCTAACGAATATGGAAACTATTGCACAACCCTGCAAAGCACAGAAGTCACTAGGAGAGAAGAATAAGGTCTTGCTGATTCTTTTCAAGAATTAATGTCCCAGAAACATGTTAACAAATCTGGCTATAGCTAGAAAATTACCTATAGATGTATAGAATGTGGAGAATACCTTCAGAACTGTATTTTCTTTTTACTTTCAAATTATAATATATCAGATCTGGATTGTCATAACAAGTGGATATGCTGTGCTATGGCCTGGGAAAAATTAACATCAAAGTGTTTCTGTTCCTTGATGTACACAGAACATTGACCTTTTTCTACATTTGGCTAATAATAAACTTAAGGTACTTTCTTGCAGTTTCATCCAATAAATCAAGTATTAACAGAGGTAGATAAAGTTCTTCTAACAATATCAAATTATTTTATTGCCTTATATGGGATGTATAATTTAATAAACTCTCTGAGTATCTGTATCTCCACAAAAACTACTAATAAAGTAGAGGAATGGAAAGACCACTTCAGTTTTCTTGGTAGATTATATGAAATCTTATTTTCAACACAGTTCCAAGAACTTGGAAGATGTTACTTAATAAGAACATAAGCTAGTTTCTGCATCCGTGAGGAAGACTGGCGAGAGTTACTGTCTTTGTACAAGCCTAGCCAGGTATAAACATTTTAGGCAACCCACTAACATGAAAACAAACAGCTAAAAGCTTTTTAGTAATGCCTAAGAAAAAAGATACTTTATCACCCAAGCAAATAGAAAACAGCCTTGATTTTTACAGAATTAACCAACACTTTTGCATCTCTGCTTTTTTTCTTTCCTGGATTTCTTTGTTTGGCTCTTTTTAATGATGTTTCTAACGCATAGGGGCCCCAGGTGACATAATTTTCCAGTAATTAAAATCAATTATTTTCTTACGATTGCCACCATATCTTTTTTTTTATCCTTTACAGATATGCTATTACCTTATTCTCTGCATTTGTTGTTGGTCACATCATACACAATCCCATCAATAACTAATCTCTGGCTAATGGTAAGTCTGACCCTAACTCTTTTTCATTTAAAGCTGCCCGCATCACTTTAGGAGAACAGCACTATCTTTAGAGAGATGTAACTCAGAAGGGTAACTATCTGGAATATAATATTGGCTTTATCTTCAAGTAACAGCCGTTGTGCCAAATGAATAAATGTGTTATTTCTTTCTGCCTCCTAATTGGCATAATCTTTCCCATTTGTATCTTTTTATTTCTTTTTATTTAGCTGTTCTTGCTTATTACCCTAGCAAGTCCGTGATAAGCCATAGATGTTAGATTAGTTCCCACATAATAGATGTGAAGAGAGGGCTTTTAGAAAGCAACATGCACAGATGGTTCAAACTCTGTGGATATCAGTCATGCTTGCAAGGTCTGTTTATTGTGAACAAGAATCCCAGGGACTCACAAGTTTCAAAGCCAAAGGAAATCATCATCACCTTTATAAGAAAGGCCATGCATTTTCATTACCTCTGAGAAGGATATCCTAGCTTGGTTTTAAGACTTGAAACGATGGAAGACACACCAGCCTAATCTGTTGAATTAAAGAGCCCTTCATTTACATGGCATTGTCTCCAGTCATGTCACTCGTATTAATTCAGCTATTTCCCTAAAGCCAAAAGTAAGGGATAAAAAGGATATATTTCAAAAGTTTGGAGCTACACTCCTAATCAATGAATTTTCAAAAGATTTTCTCTAAATCTCCTCAAAATCTACCCTAATCAGGGTAAATATATTTCCCTTTAAGACAGGAAGGTTTTGTAAAGTAGATAAAACAGTGAATAGGAAAGACATCAGTGGAAATAGTTTCTGTATTGGCAAATCATTCTTTGCTGCCTGGTGTCAAAAATAAGGAAATCAAATTTCTGCCTTTTATTATTACCATGATATCATAAGCAACATAGACATATGATGTAAGGAGCTTTTTTTTTTTA